CGGAAAGCTTTATTAGAAAAAAAAGGAGAGCATTTCCTTAGAACTAGAGCAACAGAGGCTTTTCATACTCTTATACCACGTTAACTTCCAAAAGATTTTTAACTCCCTGTTACCCAAAGCACACTAAATTTTTGAGCCCTACAAAAACTACAAGTTTTTATTAGTCTAGTTCTGATAGTATACAAAGTGGGACCCTCTCTGGTTGTCACTATCTCATTCTTAGGTTGAATATTTAATGTTTTGAAGTACTTAAAAAATTAAGCCTAATAACTTCAGCACTTCAAATATTTTCTGGGGAGAACGGTGCCTGATTTATTAGTAAAATAATGTAGTTTGAAACAAAAGGAGAATAAATTTTTCACAGTCATGGCTGTCCAATAGATTTTGTAGGAGACAAATTTAAGGTGCAGTCGTTTCCAAATCAGTTTGATTGGGGGATAAAAAATGTCTTCTCTCCAATATTAAGCATAAGGTGTCTCATACATAATGTGGTTGTCCAGCAGTCATGTAAGCAAACTACTCTAATCATTTTTTTCTTCTCCTGTGTCTCTATTGCTGTCATTCATCCTGACCAACTTTCCAGGTGGAAATACATAAATGATAACTGGAACAAGATAGGGATTGAATAGACAAGTTTATAAACTGCTAGCGAAGACTCCAGGCTGCTTATGTCTGCAGTCCTAACAGATTTAGCACAGGATGTTGCTCATAGTGGGTTTAAAGTTTTTCTCTTTCAATGAGAAATCTACTTTGAAGGGTAGATGGGTATTGTGTACATGTGTATGTATGTATGTACATATACATTAGGTCAAAATCTGCTTCCCTGAGCTTTGCTCATTAAAAAAAATCTCTCTGGAACCATGAAGACTAATAAATCTTATCAGAATTTTATTGTGTGAAGTTTTGTGTTTTCCAAATTAAATGAAAACCTTAGTCCTTGAAACTTACTCCTTAATTTGGCATTCAAGGTCTCCTATTATCTGGTCTCAATCTACCTCTGATCTATCTCCTAACATTCTCCTTTATTTGACCTAATCTTCAACGAAACTACCAGTATGTCTCATGGTCTAACAGTCTGAGGCCTTTACTAACAACCTTCCCTTCATCTCTGGGTCCCTCTGCACCTCTTCCCTTCTCCTATTCCTCTTCAAACCGTCAGAAGACAGGGTAACAACAAAATATGATCCTTGAATCCAGACAACTACTATTATTAAATAAGGGCTAACATTTACTGAACATTTACTATGTGCCAGAACTGTTCATTTTCTCTTTTAATAACTTTCGGGCGATTAAGTCAATTTTATTGTTGCTATTTTACTGAGGAAGGAAATGCAGGTTTACAAGGGGTAAGCAACTTGCTAGAGGTAAAAGGATCATGGAGGGTCAGTCCAGCAGCTGAGGGCCAGAGCCCGGAGTCACTGCCCCTCCCCTCCCCTCCCCGGGGTCCTGGGTCTCTGCGGCGCGTGCTTTCCCTCCCCGGAGCCCCAGCATCACTGGCCCTGCCCTCCCGACCGCGCTCGGCGTTGCGGGGCCGGCATCTAAACCCAGGCCTCAGCTCTCCTGGCCTCCGGACGCCTCCAGTGCCCCGCCTGCTTGACCTCACGCAGAAACTCAGCCTAACCAAGCAAGACCCCCATGACCTGGCTCTGAGGCCTGTGGCCTTTGAGCCATTCTCTTCTATGCACACTGCGGGTTGCCACCAGCCACTTACAAATGCATATCTAGAACCTAAGAAATGACCTTGGGGCGCAGGAACGCGGTTGGCGGACTAGCCCTGGGCCCAATTTTCGGACGAAGCTGGGGTGGAGTCCGAGAGGGCCCCACAGGTGACGAGAACAGGCTTGTCCCTCTCTGGGCAAAACTCCAAAGAGCTAGAGCCATCCCTGCGCCCCGTACTTCACAGTGTGTGAACGCATGGGGAGGCGCGTTCACGTTTCTGTGCCGGGAAGAGGGGGCAGGCATCTCTTCCCCTCGGTCCACAGAAGGTACGACGCCACCTCGCTGTTCACCGGTCAGCGGCCCTGTGCCTGCGCAGCCGGAGGCGTGGGCGGAGCGCGCATGCGTACGGTGTGATTCCCGCGCTTTTTCGGAGGCGGGAAGGCAGCGTGGGTTGCTGTTGGCCTGACGGAGCGACGGTTGACGGAGACGAGAAACCTGACGGTTACAGTTGCGTGTCGGGTTGGCAGGAGGGCCAAGAAGGGAAAGAATCTGTGTAGACCTTAGTTACTAACCTGCCTCGAGCCCGGGGTCAGGAGAAATCTTTGGAAGAGAACCGGAGCCCTGACTGGAGGTTTTCCCACAAGGGGCTGAAGTGGGCCCCGTGGCCTCCATCTGAGGCAACGGTCTGGGGGGGCGGGGGGCGCTGTGTGTGTGTGTGTGTGTGTGTGTGTGTGTGTGTTAGAATCGGAGAGAAAGGACGGATCAGAGACGGCTGAATGGCAGAGTCAGATTTATTTCGAGAAACTTGCAGTGAGCAAACTTTCTGCACACTGACCCCGCCACCCGTGTTAATGCGATTAGGATCCAGTCAGAAGCCGAAGCGGAGAGGGCAGCTCAGGGTCCCCGCCCCACCAGGGTCAGGGGTCCAGGGGAGGATGCGGCATTTTTATTTGCCTGAGACTCAAAAACGTACTAACAGCTCTCAGCCGCCTCTAGGTTCAGGATGTGAGCTGCGTTGGTGTTTCTGGGCTAAGAAAAGGTGGCCCGACCTCTGCTTTGGTTCCTAGAATGGCATCAAGAATATTTTCAAAAGAGACTGCTGTATCCATCAAGGCCAAGACCTGGAAACAAAACAGAGGAAATCCCTGACCTCATGATTCCCAAGTTTTATTTCTAGAAACAATATTTAGAAATTAGTATTTACCTCAGTATGATCTGCATTATTACTCAGTGGTGGTCATGTCTGTTTGTCTCATGGAGCAGTGAACCTGGGAGCAGAAGTGATCTTACCTTTTCACACAACAGGTGAGTGCTGAATTTAATTGGAGTTAGACTATAAGAGACTAAACATGGAGAAAATTACGGCAGAAATTCTGTGGTAAAAGGAAAAAAAACAGAAAAAAGTCTTGTTTCACTTGTTA